AGAAGAGTTTCCAAAAGTCCAGACACATGTTGAAATCTACAATGTTCAGAATAATCTGTCATTCTGTCTATTTCGACAAACAGTGATAGCTTGAGATACGAGCGTCCCAGCGTATGAGTATTCCGAGATACAAGCACGCTTACAGACACCGACGCTAGGTGGCCGAGCGCTCTGAAGAGTCCACGCCGCCTCACTCCTTCACTTCACGCTTTCTTCGACTTTTGTACGAGTCTTCCGTATAGTGTTTGCATTATCTACATAGTTTTCTCTCTATTTTATGCATTATTCTTCATAATAGTGATGAGTCCTAAGAAAGTGAGTGGTAAGGATGGTGGTGAGAAGAAGAAACGCGTGATGACCATGGAAAAATAAAGCATGAAATTGTGGATAAATGTAAGCTGGGTGCTAAAGAAAGAATACAAAACAAAAAAGAAAAAAGAAAAAATTAGAATACGTTAGCTTATGTAATTTTATGCAAGTTACGTCGTATACGTGTATGTCTCTATAGCAATTAAAAACGTTTTTAAAAGAAATTCCATTATTATTCACACTAATAATCAAGTTTTTTTTTCTGTTCTTTCTTATGGGAAAAAAGTACTGAGATATGAGCTCGAGTTACGAGCTCGGTCCTGGAACGGATTATGCTTGTATTTCAAGGTATTACTGTATCATGAAAACAATTGTTGCTGCCGCTCCTGTTTCTGTTATTGTTGTATATAAGGAATAAATCTAATTAATTTCTGGAGGATTTTCACAAACATCTTAACCATTCTAGAGTTCTAATTTAATATCCACTGATTAAACTGGTATATATTCACTTGCAAACAATTACCTGTTCAGTTTTAAAACACAAAACACATTTAACAGATGTATTGTGTTTACAGTGACAGCAAAACATGACCAACGTTTATTTATATAAGAGTTGACGAGGCATGTTGGTATTTCAACAAACCCGCAAAAGTACTGAACGGTGCCTAAGTGGAAAAAAAAAAAATCAGAATTCTAAAAGATCAGGTTTTGTTTTTCTGTTCAGATGTCCAGTGAAGGTGAGCAGTCACGATTCCTCTCAAGCGTCTGCTTTGTTTGTCGTTGTAGTCGGGCAAGATTTACGACCTGCTATTTTCTGTGGCTTCACACCAGCAGCTTCTGGTAATGACGTGAACTGACTTGTTCACGACACCTTGTTTGACCTTTGTGATCTTAGCCACATGTGTACAAACTTTGTGACTGAAGGTATTCAATAATTTATCCAAACTCTAATCCAGGGGTTCCAAAACTTTTTCCCAAACAAACATTAGCATTAGCCTCTGGCGGACGGCTCCTTTGCAAACTCACAGCCAATGCTACAAAATATGTAAATAAACATCAACTTTTAGAATGTATTTGGTTACTTTCATTCACTATTCAACAATTATTTAGCTTTAGAAAAGTATTTACAAACATACGTTAGCTAACATGCTAGCTTAAGAACCAGAGCAGCTCAATAGCAGCACCAGGATTTATGTTCCAAAGTTGTAGCTGTGTGTTTAGGTAGCATCAGAAACTTTGATATTCCGGCAACTACGACAGCTAGTTAGAAAAAAAAACCAAAAACTTTTTTTTGTATTTTTTTCCTCATCTTCCTTCCAATTTTCTCAGGCCCATTAGCTCCCCCTGGGAGGCCCCCACTGCTTTACTCCATGACATATTTCTATTTTGGCGGGTTTTACTGGTTTTACCCAGAAAAAAAAAAAAAACGAAACGTGTTCACGACTAGTTTCAACAGAGCTTTTTCACAGCGGAGGCTCGAGAGCAGACAGGCGCTGTCTCTGCTCTCTTACATACCATATCCATCACCAAGAGGGACACTGAGGCAAACAGGACATTTGGCATAATCGTGGTCATTTCCTGGACCCAGCTGTGCTCCCTGGCTGTCTCTATGTATGGAGTCTGGCTGTCTGAGCCCATATAGACAGTTCAAACACACAGCTAACCCACTCATCCATCCAGCTCAGAGCAGACCTCTGGTCCATCTGCAGAAGCGGCCGAACAATCTGCTCCTTCTTCTGGCCTTCCCTGTCCAGACGTACTTTCTGCAGCAATGCAGTCTGCCCGGAGTCAAGATAGCGGAAAAGAGCTGAGCTTGATTTATCAGTCAACAACACAGATGGCTGGATAATGTCACCTTGAAGACCTCTCTGTTCCCCCGCTGATTTCTTTTATCTACTCCCCCCCCCGAGACATGTTCCTGATAACACTCGAAAGGACCAATGATAACCTTGAAGTTTCAAAGCCAGAACTTTAGGGTGGTTTTGTGGCCATGGAATCAAGGCCGTAGTTCCACAAACGGACGATTTCACTCGTAGCGGGGATAATATCTGTAAAAGTCCACATTTTCCTCTTATTAGATTCCTGAGGTGACACGTGTGGTGAAGAATGTCAAGCACTCTGCAGCCCAGCTGGTAAAATTAGAAGAGGATGGAAATACTACAGCTACAGCTGCGCTACGCTGAGCCCCGGTTAATAAAGCTGTTGCTAACAACGCACAGCCTCGTCAATAATCTTCAGCATATGTGTCAAACTCAAGGCCCGCGGGCCAAATGCAGCCCGCCAGGTCATGTTGTTCGACACGCAAAAGCTAAAAAAGTGTCGAGTTTCTTCTAATTTTTTGTTACCCAGAATAAGATGTACAATATTTGTAACTTGAATAAATAATAATCAATTGCAGAAACATGTATTAATACGTTATGGCAGGCATGGGTTAAACTAAGGCCCGGGGGCCGGATGTGGCCCATTTAGCTTTGTAATCCGGCCCGACAAACTTTTCCAAATTACATCATTTATTTATATTACCATTACATTTCTGCCTTTTCCCTCCAATACCCAATAGATGTCATTTTAGCATTTTAGCATTTTAGCCATTATGCAGGACAATTGTGGCCCGCGAGTCAAAACGTTTGTGTTATGGAGTAGTAACAAAGCTATACCGTCTTATAGTTACAACCGTTACAACCCCTTCAAGAGGATCGCTGATGTGGCCCTGGGTAAAAATGAGTTTGACACCCACGATCTACAGGTCTGCATAAATCCCTGTCCTCCATCTGCAGGATGTTCTCACATATTTTTTTTCCAGAGGTTCCTGAGAAATGTCTAAAAAAATTATTTGATAGGCAGAAGTATGAGTCACAGCAGCCCTGCCCTCTCCTCCCTGAAAGAAAAAAAAATCAGTTGAAAGGTATTTAAGCCTTTAAATAAACACACGGAGTGTTAATATTTGGCTGGTGTTGTTAAAAGGGTGTCTGTTTACATTTTCCGGGACAGCTGATCATTCATCATTCGTGCATATGGATTTAACGTAGATTTGTCTCACGTTAGTCTCACATTAGGACTAATAATGTAACTGTACTCATCTGTGATCACAGCACAGGCAACAAATATGTGATTTAATCAGGAACGACATGATCCCGGATGGAGAACAAAAAAAAAAAAAAATTATCTAAACATAAACTAAGTTTAATCCTTATTAAGTCAGTCCAAAGGCAGGGTTCAAACGACTTGTTCCTTTGAAGGTGCAGGTTATCTTCATCTCCACGACAAAACCATTTTTCCGAAGAGCAGCTATTATTACAGTCTGCTGAATATTTCCTCGGTTGTCTTCGGCCCTCAAAGACAGGAATCAGCGCTCAGCTTTGAACTCCAGACTACATGGTCCCCACATGTTGCCTGATCATGTGCACGTGCATAAATTTGCGTTTTTGTTTTTTTTTTTTAAAGTTGTGGTGCACATTTAAACGCCGGAATCTGTTATCTTTACGTCTGCTAAAGGCTGACGATCAACATCTGCTCTTCGACAGATATCGACTCCTTATTTTCCAGCTACACTCCTGAACGCGCGGCTCAGCCGGGACGAGCGCCGAGTCTGTTAGGAATCTTCGTAGCCTGATTTTTCCATCAAAATCTCTGTACAGAGTTTAGGGACAAGCGAGAGCTGATTTACACATCCTGCCGTCTGACTCCAACTACCCCCCCTCCCCTCCTCTCCACACCCCCACCTGACAAGAGCAGCTGCACTTCGTGACAGACTATGTCATCTCCGAAATTCCTGCAGTGTGGCTCTGCTCTCAGCATTTCTGTCACCACTCAATATGACGTTCTAATTTTACCGCGCCTTTGCAGCAGCTACGCTGTTCACTACTAGGATACTTGACAATTCTGTTACTAAAAGTTACCTTCTGTACCACCTTAAACTTATACGAACACCGAAAACCATTTGCGGACAAAAGAAAGCGTTTAGTCGCGCTAGCTAATTTCTGGCACTATGTCGACAGAGATGCATACCGCCAGAAGGTGGCGAACATAGCAGATAGAGTTTGTTCGCTACAAAGAGGTTGTGCAGGAAGCAATGAGTGACATCGGAACTCAATCAGGTTTGGTGAACATTGAAGTTAGAGGTCGAGTTAGGCGAGCATTTATTGGGTTGTCAGGCAAAAAAAAAAATCTGTTTTTTTTCTTCCAAATACTGCTTCGATAGTAGAGTTCAAACTGTACATGCAGTGAAGGTTTTTTTTTTATCAAGATAGCATTAGCTAAAACACTTCAGGTACAGGACCGCACAACAGAAACAGAAGATGACGGATACAGAGCATTAAAAAAAACTACAACTACCTATATCTGTACATGTCGTAAAAATAAATATAGCTGAAAAATTGTTCAAGTTCATTTGCATCTGTATTCACTGATTCTTATGTTTGCATATGGTGTGAAATATTGCTTAATAATAATAATTAACAATAATAGTTTAGTTTTTTTAGACTTGCACAATTATAGGTAAAACCCAAAATAAAAGTTGTTTGGCCAAATACTTACTTGCAGAACTCTTAACTTCAACAATGTAGAAATGGAACACGACAGAGAACACTATAAAAAAACAAACTGTACTATATTGATCCCATATTTAGGAAATTGTTGTGTTAGCAGCAGATATGCTGTTAACCCGCTGCTCCTAGCAAGTGCCAAGCATGTGGTTCCTCTGGGAATCGACCCCAGAACTCTCTGCTTCCGAGGCAGGCGTGCTAACCGCTGCACTATGGAACCGCCACCATAGTGATTTTCTTCTTAGGGTCACAAGATTAAGAGAGTGAAGGTAGAAAATACAAACATCAGTGTTGGGTCAACCTTCATCCAAATTTTCACCCCAACTCCCAGGCTCTCAGGTTTGGATTAATCATAATCAACAGCTAATTCACGTCAGACCCAAAAAGCCAGCGTGGTTCTTCCAAGGTCTCGTTAAGGGTAACTGCCTGGGGATGTGCTGCAGGGAAACTCAACCCCTTTTGCCATTCCAGGCAGAGCACAGTGGGCCATGCACAATATCAATGACAAAAGCAGACAGGCAGCAAAGCACTGATGCATAAAACATGAGCCTGAGAAAGTTAGCCCAACTCCAGCAATCATGCTTCTTCTTTCTTGAGGGTCATGGAATAAGATGCCGCACCAGAAGGATTAAATTAATGTTTGGTGAACCACATAATTACTTTATTCAGCAAATAAAGCTGTCTTTATTTAAGCGGTGTGAGTAGCAACGGGAGCTTCCTCGTGTCCTTTTTTCTTTGACCTCATTATTTAAAGTTAATCTGGGAGAATAGAGGTAATCTGACATGCCTGTTGACACCCGACGGACCGAGTTTAAAAAAACCCAACTTTTTCCACAACATTTAACGAAGGATTAGCGTTCCTCATAGAAGTGTTAACTCCAAGGCAAACACGTTTAAACAAACACGTAGCCCAACTACTGTGTAGTCCACAACGATACAGCAGTTTTGCATAAATCCAGACCGGGCCAATGAGCTGAAACCATCTGGGACTCATTTGTGAGGGAGCTCTTTGGCATCGGTTCCAGCGCCTGGTTTTGATGTTCAGATAGGCAGGCATACACATTTTGGTCAACACACGACCATTCCAAGACAAATGTGTCACTGACATGCTAATCTGCGAGAAAAACTTAAAACGCCACAACTTGCTGGGAAGAATGAAGTCGGGAAGAGCCGTCGGCCGTAAACGTTCCGGCAAATGAAGTCCACCTCGAAAGAAAAGACGGGGAACGGAAGTTACAGTGAACATTTGCGTATTTGGAACTTTACTGGCAGATCGGCGTCTGCTGTTCTCCCCTGCTTGGATTCATTTAGTTGAGGGGCCTGTTCAGGGAGAATGTCAGCAGTTTCTACTTCGACAACTGTTTTCGTTTCGTCTGCTTCTCCCACAGTTACATTAAGACACAAATCCACAAAGAAAGAAAAAAGAACGAGGAAACTGACGGACGACCGACTCTACTAACCTGTAACTCGTGACACGTCGGGTGTAAAGAACTCATGTTGGAGGTCTTTAGATCAACAGGGTTAGGGGAATTAGTCGTTGTTCGTAGTAGTAGTTTGAAGTAAAACAGTACTTGTGCGTCTTTGACGTCTTGGTTTTTGGTCTCAGAAACGAGGGAGGCTCATTTCAGGGCCAGTAACGCTAACATCATAGTGAGCAAAAATGCTGCACATGTTGTTTTAAAAAAGTAATTACCAACTAGGAACTAGTTACTTCTCCCAAAAAGGAACTAAGTTAGCTACGTAATTAGCTAGTAGAGTTACATTTTCACTTATACTTTTGCATTTTTCTTCACAATTATTTCCGTATTAGTAATTCCATCATTGGGATTAGTTAGAAATTAAAACAAAATCTGAGTTAATCACAATCAATCATGATTAATTGCGAACATGATAAGTCTCTCAAATAACTATCATTACATTCACGACATTACACAAGCGTTATAATACCAAGGTACAGCATGATTCTCAACAGGAAGTCAGGGAACGAGGCAAAACAGATAGAGAGAAATTCTTCACCTCGGCTGAATCTGACCACCTGAAAAAAAAAAAATCAAAGCTTTGACCTTTTTCTGTCTCACGTAGCCACAAATGGGCAGAGCCCCGTCGTCATTACCTGCATTTTGTGACTCTTTCAACCTGTAGGTTCAGTCCATCCACAGCTGCACACCCGCATGGAGCTGTCTGATGAGACGGTCTCCACAGGTTGGGTTACGCATTGAGATTAATGAAAGGAGATACAGAGAATAAGGGCAAGCAAAGCAAAATGTAACAAAAGTTACACAGCAAAGTCGTTTTGAAATGTTTCTGTTGGCTCTGCCCAGTTCTTCTGTTAGTTCATTCTTATTGATCTGCCAGTTTTCTCTTTTGCATTTGACAGAAATTAGTTAGTTAAGCTAGGCTACCTTACGCTAGGCTACATAATTTTTTAGCATGTCCTCAAAATGCCATCATTCAAGATGCACCAGATCAGATATTTTTATACGGTGCGTTTTAGTTTAACTTGATTTATATTCATGAAAGTGAAAGAATACAATTCTTTAAAAAGATTTTTTAAAATAATAATTAGTTTTAAAAAATATATATTTATCAGTCATTTTTTTTTATCAATTGCAAGACATTTCAGTTGACCCCTTTTGAATTTCAGATGACCCCACATAGGGCCAAGACCCCAAGGTTGAAAAAACACCGGTATAGAAGACTAAGTTTATGAAAATTTTAGCCTTTTTTTTTTTTTTTTTTCTTGATTACTGATTATTTTGTCCTGATTATTGTGAGGGTAGAACACTGAGGGAATCCACATGTGAAAGAAGATACTGTGAGTTTTGTAGGTGACAGCTGGTCAGAAAGAAAGGGGTTTGTGTGTATGTCTGTGTGTGTCTGTGTGTGTGTGTGTGTGTGTTTCTCTTGTAGATCGGGTACATTCTTAGATTCAGATACGATCTGCATCTAGGTTGAGGTAAGCACGTTAATTGGTTAGAGTTAAGAATGGAATTCTGATTAGGCAACAAATTAATGGAAGAAAATACAAGGTCCTGAAAGGAATAGTAATGTAAGTGTGTGTGTGTGTGTGTGTCTAATGGAGAGAAAACTAGAGGATGCAGCTGCAATCAGGCTCCGTGATGGTAGGGGTGCAGAAGCAGATGGGGGCTCGAGGCTGCACTGCAACATGATAGCCATTTTGAGATGCCCTCATACATACGTGTAAAAAAGAAAAGAGTTTCTGAAGCTTCAAAGCAGCTCTCTGCAAATTGGAAAAACTAGTATTTTGTTCAATGTTCCATCATTCTTGTAATGACAAGCAGTTGAGAACTCGTCCACTGGACTGTCCTTTTCCGCCTTTAATTTTTTATTGACATAGTATTTCCGCCTCTACTGTGATGTTACACTATTCATATGAAAAGATTTAAATTTTTTTTTTTTAAACTCTTGCAGGATTTCTCTGAATCTGTTCTATGAGACATGAAAGCCAGAAACCAGCGACTGTCAAAAGTGTTCAGGTTTGAAATGAGCAAAGAACTTTGACATCGGAGCTGAAGAGAAACCCAAAAGTGGGAATGAACTTCTTCTCCCCCATTCTCCCCCCTTCCCCCCCAACTCTCTGCCCTGAGGACTTTTAGTCCATATCCTGAGGCCTCTTGTCTCTCCCTCCCTGATGGGAACCATAATGGATGCCAAAGGTAATGTAATAAGTCACAAAGTGCCAACCCATCTAAAGATGAATACTGCATCTCTGTGGCTGTGGACCAGCTCCATGTGGAGAGAGGTTGGTTCGTCAGGTTTGGGTTTAATGACTGGATCCAGAGACCAGTGACTGTGGACCAACTTGGTCTCCTCAACAGAAATTCACAAAACTCTCAAAACAGGTGAGAAAAAAAAAAGGGGGGGAGGAAGAAAAATAAATCCCAGACATTTTCCAAATCAAAGCATGGCCAGTGTCTGAATTTCACTAAAGGACAATGTCCTTCTTTTTTATATTAAAGGTCACATGGAGCACATGTAAAAATAAGAGATCCCCGGAGATAAGGGCTGCAGTAATGGAAAATATGAGACATTCGGAGTGTTCTTTGATGACTGTGACACAGATGGAGCGCCAGGAAATGGAAAAGATGTCAGTTCGTCTTAGCCTTTGCACTGTTTTTTTTTCTTCTCTCCATTACTAAGTTTCAATATTGGAACCAGAAATGTGTTCAAAAGAGAGGATAGTGTTTTTGTCGCCATCGCTGTGGATTTAATTTTAAAAAATTAGCTTCCATTAAAGAAATTGGGAAAGGTTTGACTCTATCTAGATAAAATATCTAACGTCTCTCCTGCGTACGCAATATTTGTAGCTATTTGACTGAATTAAAAAAAAAATGATATTAATGACCAAATACTTGGTTCATGCTGGAAACAAGAATATGTTTATGTAGAGTTGCAGCTCAAGTGCTGCTGTGTACTGAGTACTACTACTACTGTCCATGTACCAAATCTCAGTTCTACTAATACATTTCTTCTATCACGCACCTATGACTAAATTGCTTTGACTAAGGAACCATAAATAAAGAAGTATAAATCATTTTATAAATCGACGTCACCACCAAATTAGGGAATGTGATGGCGGCAACGTATATTCACTATGATACAAAGTACTTCAAGTTTTCATACATCACCACAGACCAGAATAGCGTCCTGTGTAAACTGTAGATAAGACAAACAGACCTTGAAGTACTGCCAGAAATGGAAGTACAGTACTTTCTGCAGTATCACTTATGGAACGGTATTTAAAAAAAACCTATCATCGTCGATCATGTGTGTGTTCTTCTTCAATTCCTGTGAGTGACATCAGGATTTGTGTTCAACTAAACAGGCACGCGATTAATACCGGATACCGGACATACATTTACTGTTGAACTTGTACCTGAGCTACGTTCTCTGTCCAATGTTAGGTGAAGGTCAGAGGTCTTCACGGGACGGGATATGTTTTTCTTCCAGACTCCTTTATCTGTTATCTCTGGTTCAAACAGCGTAAACTCTGGACAGAACAGCTGCTCTCTTAACTATTTCGAATGTAAATACAACCTGAATATGACAACCCTCTCTCTCTCTCTCTGCTGCGTCACATTTGAATAGGGAGCTGAGGCTAAATAACCGCCCGCACAGGGAGTCTTTCAGTAACCAACGGAAACTTGTACAACGTGAAAACCTGGGCCATCCACCAAAAAAATTGCGCAAAATAGACAG